TGCAGCCCAGGTGCGTTCTTGCTTTTCCGCTTTTTATTCACCGTTGATTGTGTGAAGTAGTATCTTCCGCTGTTTATCACAACCTGCTTTTAACATTTACTAACGGTGCGTTTATTGTTTACAAAGTGCCCTACGAGTTATGAGTCAATGTTTATCTCGCTCATCTATCTGTTCGTTCTTTGGGCATATTATTTTGCTTTCCAGGTGATAGCATCAGCAGTTCTGTTTTTGAGAGGTGCCAGATGTCATCTTCCATCCACGGTGAATCCTCCAAGTTCTAATGTCGAATCGAGCCAGTTGTTAGCGAGCAAATCGATTGGAAGAAAGTCTTTAACTGGGAGTTCGACGCCAGCCGCTGATCATGGGTGCCTAAACATGGGATTGGCCACTAGTCTTTCTCGTATGCATCCGGATGTGCTAATCCAATCGGATATGAATAAGACATTGGCATTGTTTGTGGAACCGTTGTTCGAACGGCCATTTGTGGAACAGTTGCACCATATGGGCCATGATGTCCGGAACGAGACGAGTTCGTGGCCGGGGCGTGTGGTTTCAGCCGGTTGGAACGGGTACGATATGGTCACCTCACTTGACAATCGAGGATCGTGGAAATTGAGATCTTATTGAAGTACAAACCTCTTGCATCGTTGATTCACTGGTTTATTTCGTTTGCCATTTTATTCCTGTCACTTATGCACATCCGGCTGTGACTTTATCTGCACAATTCACGTTGTTGTCTTCGGATGTTACTTTAGTGAAGATGACACTTACATATCATAATCACTCCATGACTTTTACTTAGCTCGTGTGAACATTTTACGCTGTCGTTAGCGTGGCTTGTATTTATTGGATTTGCTATACGTATTCATTCGATGCGGCATCACTTCTTCGATTTCTTATCTTATCAAATACACCGAATATTTCGAATGCTTGATTTTACCGGAAAAGCGTTTAACGCTCTTTGATCGACTACACACGGAACACAACCGAATTTATCCCGGTTCTTTTCGTACTTCACGCATTGAACCTGTTCCGCACGAAGAAGCCAATTTTCAGCCCTGTTGCCTGTGCCACGGTTGCAGCTTTGCCAACAATAGCCTTAAGGTGATTCGAATAGGCGCTGGGTACAGATGCATTGGGCGAAATATTGCCTTTCATGGCCGTCTTGACCAAAACATCGATTGTTTTAGTTACATACCACCGGTGGATGCTCCAATAACAGGGGTTTAAAACGGTATCCGCTTTTCACAGAACCCAAATATTTCTCAAGAATAATTTCATTGAGGCTAGCCTGTAGAATATTCTCATAAACAGTGTAGAAAACGGTGTGGAAGAGGGTTGATACGTTTTTTCTGCACCATCAATCCGCTGTCCAGGCCAGGAAACACAGCAGTCTGGATCCACTCTTTTCGCTTACATAACTGGATTTATGGTACGAATTGCAATCCCATCGATCGTGGTTGAAGGGCGTCATCTTATTCCTTTTTAGTCTCCGGGGTATAGTGTGAATTGTTTTCTAATAGGTCCAACTTATGAACAACATGCCCACTGTCAATGAGATGATCAAGAGCCGAGCTGCGAATGCAACTGACCGTTCCTTAGTAGAAAGTCGCAGGACAGTGTTCAGCAATACGTTTTGATAATAGTTTGGTCGTATCTCCAATGTATTGCACACCACAAGTGCATGTGAAAAGATGCAAAACGAAGGATTTGGACTGATGGAGCCAGTTACCTTTTATTTGGTGGAACACGAACGGTCAAGTGTTTGTGGGAATATACGGTGGAGCTGCAGGGAACATTCTAGAGATCACTTTAGACAAACGTCCTTTGAGAAGTTCAAGCGCATAGTTACCCTTAAACGGAACAGTAAGGAAAACGTTCTTGCGAGGAACGGTCGGGCTTTTGCTTGTATTGGTCTTCAATCGTATATGATTATCAATTGCAGCTTGTGGGTAGCCATCTGACCGAAGCACGTCATGAATGAAACCTATCTCGGACTGCAATGTATCAACACTGAAAATCGCACGCGCTCAGTAGGATAAACATCTTACCAATTTGAGTTTATTTCAAGGGGGAAACTGCGTATACTGTCCGACCCACGTTGTTTTGCGGAAAACGCTTCGTTGCTATTGTCGTCTGACTTTGTTCATAGTACATCTAAGGAGGGTAGTTGTCCGCTTTTCTGTAATTCACAGATGAAACGAATAGCTAGATGTCATTCTGAATTCATCAAAAAGCCGTGTGTGGCTGGGAATCACCAAAGATAAAAGTATCGTCCAGGTATCCGCCATATACATAGAAATGTCAAATGGTCTCTTTCAAACTTTCGTTCTCCAGTTTTGCTAGAAAAGTATCCGCTAACATGGGACCTAGTGGAGTCTCCATGATTACCCCGTCGATTTGTCTGCAGAACTGGTCGTTGTACAGAAATTGTGTCTTTTGTACATCTGAGAATCAGCTCTTTCATATTTTTCACCGGGATTCCGGCCTGAATGTAGTTAGATACTTAGAAGTCCCATGCGTGGTGAATTTTTCCAATCAGTGGTACCTGAACAAGGATTCCACGTCGAATGACATCATAGTTTTGTTGAGATCAGGTTTTCTATAATCTCTATAAAGCTAGACGTATCCTTTAGACTATGTTTGGCTATCTTTCGGCTAACCGGTTCTAGAAATTCTACGATGCACTGGGCGATAGCGAATACCTTTTTCTAAACTGAATATGTAGCTATAATCACAGTGCTGATTCGACATCCGGACGGCTTTCGTTACTTTTCTCATATACTCTCGATTAACCTCATCATAAATCACTTGCCTGTTTTGTGGGTTAGTATACATACGTTCTTCCCTGAAGCTCAACATCTTATTTTGTTATTCATGTTCGTGAATCTACTTTGTCACAGTTCAAACAGAGGGTTCTGTACTGTGCTACAATTGTGGTGGTTTAGTTTTAGCTAATATTAACGATTTTTTATGGAAGCCAATCGGTAAATCGATTTGCAGGTCGATGCAGTCGCTCAGTTAACAAGAACAACGAAGGTCACGGTCTTTCTTCTCATTTTAGACTGAGGTATGTAGCTGGTTAATGCCAAGGTAAAAAATTAATTGGCTTTCGTAGATGAGAAAAAGGATTCAATCCGCATTACCTACAGAGTGAAGTGCTTCGTGAGGATAATTCTTTCGAAGGCTCCGGGCACAGCAACCAGATCCCCGCTGCTAGATAAATCCGATCACTGCTAGTCGTTGGAAATAGCGAATGGTGCTGTGTACTTATTCGCCAAGTGCCAATTGGGTTCAATTCTAGTTGATCTTCCGATCTATGCACAATACAGGCACTCCGAATGTGGTGAAACACAACTTATTCACGATGCTGAATACAAATATCCAATTTCGGCTGTTGTATGAAGTACATTTTCTCCCCCCAGATCTCTCACCAAAGTAGTTCACAAGGTGGAACGCACATTGTGTTGTGGATCTCGGTCCCACATTAATGGATATATCTGAAATAATACTTAAGGAGAACAGGCGGCCGGGATGGAGAAAGTATCACATTAGTACATTCATTTGATCCATGACTCACGCAATAATATACGTTTCGAACGCCGAGGAAATATCTTACAAGTGTACCCTCCATTGAATTCTGTATGATTTCGATGTCACCTTGTTTTCATCCGCGAATAAATAGTTGATGATTTACGCCAGAGACAAATGCCAATCCACTATTCTCTGTTAGTACAATAAAGATCATTTCGCTAGAAATTTATTCTAAATTTGATATTGAAATGTTCGTAGAGTAACGAAAAATACCCTAAATGTGATACTGGTGTACCAAAGAACCAAGTCAGCTTTCTGAACTCCAGGACTGAAGAGTTCTGGTTTACCAATAAGCTGTCTATGTTAGTTGCACGTATTTTGTTTGAGGTTTCCTAAGTGCGAAATATGTTATCCGAAACCATCCAAGAAAAGTCATGATAACCGCATCTTTTGATGTCATGTCCGGTTTCTTAGTAAGATAGTCGGTTACCGGATGAGTCTTTTCCCTCATTTGGGGCACTATAAGTTAAGTGTCATGGCAGACAACGAAAGTTATACCTTTGTCGAGCCCGGTGAATAGTGTGCAGTATTCTTCGTATTCCGGGAGTCTTCCGAAATGAACGTTCGCGATTCGATTCCCATCAGCGTCATAGAAATAATACACATGATCTCACCAGTCCCGAGGAACGAGCTTCCCGTCGATCATCATGTGAAGAGTTCCATCAGTAGTATAATTCACCGAAAGTTGCCCGAAATCAACAAACTCAAATGATATTGCAATCGTGAAGTTTACTAGCCTCAATGGAATTCGAACCCACGCATGGGTGCCGCCTAAGCTGTACCAACTGAGTTACGAAGTCACACCGATAGCATTGATGTTTTCATATTCGAATCACCCAAATTAATAAGGCCCGCACATACAAAACGGTTGGTATATATTCTCATGGATACTATATTAAAACGGCCGTTGATTCATATCGGAACTCGCCACGATACAAGTTTAGATCTAATGAGTCTTGCTTGTGCGCTGGTAATCCCACAAACTGTTCACATCTGTTTGTTTCTTATCGATATGGCGCAATCAGTCAAATACAAACATCCGATCTGAATAATATCCGCGGCCTTGTCACGTGTGATGCATTTCTTTCAGGAGTCATGTGAGCCTCGTTTCGAACAGATCGGGAGCATTTTTCATTTTACGCTTCATCAGCTGACTGTGCGTGTGAAAAATCCCAAACCTCTTTCGGGACACCGCTTACACCTGTGAAAATCGTACATATAATCCGATTACCTCGGTTCGCAGCAGGCAGGTGACCGCCAGATTTACCATGATTATACAAGTGTGGATGAACCAAACGTGCCAATCCTCAGTTGCGTTAATTCACGATGAATACGGATCGAGCAAGACCCAACCAACTGTCATCGATATGGATCGATGATTCACACATGGGCCAACCTAGCAGTTCATGTAATGGTGCATCCAGACTTTTCGTGCCTCATATGACAGGCTATCTAGTTTTTTTACTGCGATATACGTATTCCGTAACATTGTTCATGATTCGTCAGAACTAAGACATTTGTATGTCCATTCTTTACCGTATAAAGTTTTTGTATCAGATTGGATGGAGAGATTAATGGAGTAGATCTGCTTATATTCCATGTATCGAGCAATCCTTCTAGCCAATCATAGATGAAAACCAATGGGTGTGGTAACCGTGTGTTGTCATCGCGACAGCGACCTACACAAAACAAACGAAGGGGATTTTATGAGGAGTGAGAAAACAAATTTTTATCAAAAGCTGATAGGAATTTTATTCCGTTCTGCGTGAACGTAATCTGTACCATTTCAACCATTTCGTTCGATAAACAAACAGGATTTTTAAGGTACTTTTTGTCTTCANNACCTTTGTTGAACCCAAATTTCATCCTGCATATACAAAAAATCATGACTCAGCTTACACAATTCTTTCCATTGTCGTGTACGGGAATTGTTAACAGGGTAATCGCTAAGCGCGCCTCTCAAAGATGTGATCAAGAGGCCGCTATATTTTGATATCACTCGGATGACTTAGTTAATATAATGGACGAGGATATTTTAATCAGCGTAGTCACAGAAATTGATCATGAAACATCTGATAGTGAAAACGACCTTGTTTTGAGGACAGCTGTTCAAACAGCTTGTGTTGATCTGATTACCTTACTCACCACTTGGTTACTCGCCTTCTTTTACCACTCTGAATTGCTACGGGTGCACACCAATCTGATCGGATTACACCTAGTGCTGGGCATTGCTATAAAGAAAAACATCAGTGCATGACAGTTCTGCGTTCAAGGTCAACGGTCATTTGGATAGCGCAGCGCTGATTGTGTGATTGCGTCTAAGGCGTGCGACGATCGACTGACTGGACAACGCAACAGTGATAGATTGGTCAGGCCTCAATGATGCGCCGAACGAACCACACACCTTTCCGGTTGTGGCAGCGATCACCGGTTCAATTGTGCACTTTGAACGCCGTCCAGGGGGCGTATCATCCGATGAACTGGACACAGGCACCCAATGGATTGCGGGTTTCACACTCCCCGCTGCTTTGTGGGTCACGCTTTGGCTAGCCGAAGGCTTTCGGTTGTGGATCCTTCATGAAAATTCACCTGCCTTCGAATGGACGAACCTGGCATCATTCCACCCACAAGCCAGTCATGGAACGTTCTTTTCTATAAAGATTATTGTGCCATGTTTTGTTTGGCGCACAGTCTGGCCTCAGACGAGTGTAAAATACATCTATATAAAGTGTACCTGGTTTGCGGTTGCCGCGCCAGATTAGAGAAAATCACATGAAGGTGGGGGCATGGCGATAGCGCACAAGTTCATGCACCATCCACCTTGCACGTTTTTATTCATTAGGTGTAAATAGTCTTTGCCATTTTCATTTTTCGGTGCTTTCCCTCGAAAGAACTTGACAGAATTGCATCCCCAAACAAATCACTGTTACAGATATGCCTAAGAAAGAGATCTTATGCATCTAACTGGGAAGATAACATCCCGCAGTTTTTGGTCAATACAGTGTTATCACTGATATTGATCATAAAAAGGGAACAAAACGATTAGTTCCGATTACATGCAAAATTAGGTACAGATTAATCATGACTCCGGATGAGCGTTGTATCGTCATCATCATCCTCAGATCTCCATGATATCGGGTGTTCCCAAGCTGGTCTTGTGACATTGCACAGAATTCATCGTTGAATAATGGAAACTAATCCTCTGGGTGCATATCAAATTTCCTTACATTAAAAATAAGCCTAGTGGAACAAACATTCAATCATTGGAATCGAGTTACCCTACCCTTCCAACAGAAATACTTCACTAACTAATCCAAATTCAAATTTTTATTATGGGAAAAACTTACAAAGACTTCGCTTATCAAATACCATAGGATGTTTACACTTTGGTTCATCTTTTCACTTGGTGGATGCCAATCAACTATATTGGAATGAAAAACAATCTTTACAGCACTATTGCGCAGTTCAGTGTGACTCTGGTTCATAGTTTGAAAGTACATTATGAAAATCTAGGTATTATGGAGGCACAAGTGATTTCCTGTTCTATTGTCTAGTTGATACTGTTAGCGATTTGGATTGATCTTCCCACAAAAAAAACACCGAATGACTCATTAACGGCCGTACCAAGGATGTTTTGTCCCACGGCCATAGACTTTGTACCGATTTGCAACTCCCAAAGTATTACCGTGTTGCAAATGAATCCAAAAACGAACATGAAACGGGTCACATGTATGTTGCTGAGAAAAAGGTCTTCAAAATGTATAGGCACAACCCAAAGTGATCTCAGGCGGTAACGGACCTGAAAAGTGCAACTAGTTTGAACAGTTGACCTTTTGGATGACCACAGCAACATACTTTTCTGTGATATGTAAAAACAAAAACCAGCGCCGGTCTAAAAGCGTCTGCGAGTTGTATCGAATCGATGGGTAGATAACGTGGTTTCACTGGAAACATAAGTGATAGATCAACTGAAAGACATGCGGCTTACGTTAAGCAGTGAATAAAATAATCATAAAAACAACGGTGCCATTCAGCACAAACTGGGATCAACCAGAATCGCCAGTTTGTTCAGATGACGCGTTCAATGATATCCAATCAATTCGTTCGACCAGACAGGAATGAAAAGAGACAGCCGACTATCCATCCATTCCATTCGAAAGCCTCATGCGTAATCCTAGTTGGATAGGCAATTCTAGTAAGGTCAAACAAGAGTAAAACTTCAGTCTAGTGCTTCCTGCGGGTACGGGTGAACCGAGGACTGTGCATGTAAATAAAGTCTAAACGAGGAACAGTCCAAATCAAATAACATGTCACTTATAGTATACCACCAGCTCCTGTGAATTAAGTGATAATATGTTTAGTCCCAGAATCCCCGCTTTGAATCGTCCCCGATCGTGCGGTAATGTGAAACCGGAAGCAAACAGAAGCTGGAACAGGAATATCCGAATTATACTTCTTACGTAGTGGCCTCTAGCCAGCAGTATGTGGAACATGTTCACAAAGTGTGAGTTGGAATTAAATGAGCGTTTGGTAATTCAGGTCATGGTCGAGAGCTATTGCACTACGAATCATTCATATATATATAGAACCCTATTGTAGAATCGCTGAAGGTTTTTATACATTTACGTTGCGTAAATACTACCTAACTATAAGACTCATCGTTCGAGCGGGTTCTCTGAAAAGATCGCATAACACGGGTTATTCGAGAATTCTGAGTGCCAGAAGCAAGGAAATATATACTAGATATTTGTTATCGCTTAACCACATAGCAGTGCACGGTATGCGGTAGAAAGGGGGTATGTTGGGACGAGGACGCATTGTACTATCAGTTGGTTATTGCATTGTAGGGTACTGAGGAGAAAAGGGCAACACGGGAGTGTGGGTGGGGTGGAGAACACAGCTAGCACAAGAAAGCACGAGAGAGGAGTGACGGGCAACCTAGGCAAGTGAGACTAGAACAAACACAATGTTATTCAGAATAGAAAAAAGGACATTCATTAGCCTGGGGTCATCAGATTTAGATCGTGAAGTAGATAACGAGGGGAAAGTGTGGTGGATGGAAAATCACAATCACAGAAATGCATGTGAGTGAGATGTGAACCGGACATTATACCAATACGTGTGAGTGGAAACGGGTTTCAGCACACCGGGACTCGGGGGATTTGGAGCATCTGGTTCAGACGAAGGTGAAGGAAATCGAACAGCGATGAAGGAGAATGCTTTGGTCCCGTTTTTCTTAAACAATCAGCTTGATCATTACCTTTCGACCGATGGGCACCGTAGTCCATGAGTAACGAGAGTAGAACACCCGCACTGCATCCAGTCGCATAGATCAATCCTATAATATGTTCCAACTAAAAACAAGAGAATAGATGAGTGAAGCGTAGTATTTTACAATAAAAACAGTATTTCATTTATCCGTGACTGCAGATCAATTAGAATTCAGCTATCCAATAGCAACTGACCATTACACATGTCCAAGAATTAGTTTAATAAAAGCGTATAAGATGGAAAAATACGTCGAAATATGATTGTATATCTCTAGTGTTAGTAAACTCGTTAGTGTTACTCACTTCTTTTAGCCTAGGATCATTGTTCGTACATACGATCAGGGGGGATATACGGTACTCCGTGAAATGAGTTGCATCAGCTTTCGATACAGACGTGGACGTTTGCGAAGAATTGTCCGAAGTGGTGCTTGTTGAGTCACTTGCGGCGAATGTCGCTGACGCGGCGGCGGCGGCGGCAATCCATTGAGTCATCACCTTGANTGATTGTGTGTCTGCCCCAGCTACTGGTTACCACACCAGCAGGACGCAACCGCGTGTCACCTCCCTCGCATAGACCAGCCTAGAAGTAAAAATGTTTAGGGGGCTAACGTGGTTTACGATACGAGCACATGTTCAAATGGATAACAGCCTTAACTAGGATCGAGTGACAAGCAGGCTAATTCAGCATATCCATTCCTGCGGAAGAGAAAAATCGTGATCTAATTTCCGATGGGCAACGACAAAAAATTTTTTAGAAGAGATATACGAAACTAAGGTAAAGAAGCTGATAAGTAAGGTTGAGACGAGCTTCATGCATTCAACAGTTGCGGTTCGCGAAGTTCACATTGGGGAATGTGAAAAAGCATACTGTCCAATCAGGCTGCGAGAAAAAAAGGAAAATAATCTTTCAACTTTGCGGCTGGTAATAATCTGTGCATATCTAAACAAAAACGAAGAACACGACGATCTATACTGTGCATGTGAGTGGTGACCGAAGTTTAAATTCGGAGAGCGTAACATCATCCAATACAGTTTTAGTTTGAACAGCCATTAACCATGCACCTTCGTGCGCCGGTTTTGGTTGCTGTATCTTGGTGACCCATTTGGATGAACAGTGGGAGAAAAAAGAGAACGTTGAAAGTACAGTCGAACGGAAAATGGGGAATTCCAGTGGACTAATGATGCAAAGAAATTGAGAAGATGCCCGAACACCACCGTTCACGACATCGGATACGGATTTTGCCAGTTCGTCATGAAAACAGTGTAATCATACAATCGATAAACCTATTGCACACAGCACAAGGCTTGCAAACACTTTCATCTAATGTAACCTTGTTTACAGCAATAAATCTAGAATGAGGTTCATGGAACCCAGAAAGCGTTTTTTCTCCTGCCGTTCTGCATAATATGTAACAGAACAATGGAGGCCGTGTGATACAGTGCAAGTAGCCATGAATTCGAAGATGGCTTTTTTCGGAGACTAATAAATTCTTCAAGTCAAAATGAAAAAAGTACAATCTGTGAACCCATGAAAAAGTAGACCAACATGGGAACAGCGCAAGAAAGGTGGTGAAGTAGAACAATACCAAGATAAATGACAGTTGAATCTTGGATATAATTTAACTATTCCATGTAAGATGAGAAAGATCACCAAACGCGTGTGTGGGAGCCGATTTAGGGACTACAGGAGGCAGCGATATTTGGCGATGTTCAGCCCACAAACATCTGACGATGTTATTCGAGCTACTCTGGAGAAGAAGAAAACAACCTCTGTTCACGAACAGCCTCAAGAAAGACAGGGAAAGACGGTGAGCAACAACAGCTAGTGAAATGGAAGTAGCACATACATCAAGAAGGTCAAGGACTGTTCCGATTGATACGCATTACTGAAGGTCAGCAAACCCCAGTTAGTGAAACAATCTCCGACAAAAGTGAACAAGCTGTTCACAATAAGGAACAACGGCGGCGTATTTCAGCGAACAATTCGGCCGGACTGGCTCTAACTGGATCAGATCAACTGTTCCAGCTGGAGCAGTGTCAATTGATCGTCCGGCGTAAGCAGAAGTTCGATCTCGAATTCGAGCTCTGACGAGAGGATAAACAGTAGAAGGGAGATGATAAACTCGAAAGCTCCATTTACAACTTGGAGCACATTTGTTTTCACAAACCTTCGTGGGGGAAGCCTCATAGTCACGAGGACCTGCTGTTCGGTGATGGAAACCGGTAACTTAAGTCCCGGAACTTTGAGTGGTGAACCACATAAGGCCTCGATAAGTTAGGTGTGGTATTAATCCGGACGATAGCACAGCTGCCTACCACCAAAGTTGGGTGGTGGAGGCTCGGCTCGAACCTCGGACCAAGGCACACCCGTGTCAGAGACTAAGGCACTGCGCCACCACCAACCTGGAGTGCATACCATCATTTGGGGTAATCACTGATGCTTCCCATTGCCAAAAAGGGATTTCGGAAGGTCGGGGCAAACCACCGCGGGATAAATTTGATCCTAATAGTTAACCTGCGTCATATTTCGACGTCTGACTCCTTTAGGAGACGAATATCCGTGAACAGCACTCCACATTTGGGTTCGGTTGTGGGTGAATTGATAAAAAATTTTATGTGACATTAGATCCCCGAGTTGCGTCAAGCCCACCATCGACCAACGTTTACAATGTTCCTTGATCTGAAAGAAGCCTTGGACTCAGTTAATTGTGAATGGGTTCTTTTTCGAAAAGGAATGGCCCAGAAGTATGTTGACTTATTAAGGTCACCAAACTCGCATACTTCCCGTCGAATGGGGCTCTGTAACGAACTAGGCGGCTCGTTCGTTAGAGGCAGTAGCGTTTGTCAAGGATGCCCTAATTTGTCATTCCTGTTCAAGTTTATCGTACACAAAATATTGGAGACAACCGTAATTTGCCTCGAAAATTTTAGTATTGAATGTTCGGCAGGAGAAAAGCTGTGCGATTCGAAGTACGCAGACGACGTCTACTGTCTTGTATACATACTTGACAAACTGGCGAGCTATGATGCTCCGGTTGATACGCTGTTTGCAATTCCATAGTGTAAACGGATGCCACGAGCCTGGATGTCGACTAACTAAGGACTGTGCTTTTGCGTCCAGATGTTGCGCAGTAGGGTAGTATTGGAGGTTACGAGGTTGTCATACCCCCCCCCCATCTAGAAAAGAGTGGGAGGGGGCTCATCCGGTCCTGCTGCCGTTTCCCGCTTCACAGCTTGAATGCCAGATCGAACTTCTGCTTCTGCTGNTGGAGGATCACCTAACACTGCCCACGGAGCTTCAGTTGCAGATGAAGCAGCCTGGTTAGTCCGCGACACGCAGCAACTATCGATCCCCAAGGATTCCATTATACGTACCAGATAGGCTTGTTGACCTACCTGCATCAGGGTCCTCAAGTTGAAGGCCCCCAGATTCAGTGATTGACGAGGCTTTAGAATCTGTAATTCGTCTCGAGATACATTACTTTCAGTGCTATTTGGCAACGGTCTTTGGCGAGCGACATCCAAGTTGCTTGAGGGACTATTACAGGTCGGAAGAAGGGGCTAAATGAAAGGGCTGGGTACTGAAGACAAAGAATTAAACAGAGGTTGGGATATCTGAGCAGTAGCCCACTTATCACTACCCACCCCGCTCGGTGCAGTGGGCAGCGCGGTCCTGATCATCCTGCGCGACCGACCGATGCAGTATGGAATTATTTGTAAGTTGTGTATGCATTGGGGTTTGATGGACGGGTACTGCCAAGGTTTCCAGCCACTAAGCAGGAGAACGATTAGGGTTCTCGTCCAAAGCCTAAAGTTCTGACAAGAACCTAACCGCAAGGTAGCGGGTGAAGTAAGGTGGAGACCCATTTACTTAGATCGATTACTGCTCCACCGTTTTTAACCGACTGAAACGCAAATTCCAGTCGAACCCCCAACCTGGTGGACCAGGAGACTGGACTTTGTCTGACTTCTACCCATTGACCTTCCAGGCATGATAAGATCTCCTGACTTGACAAAAGCCATCCTGTGTAACTCGTCGGGTCACGGAGATGCACAAGCCATCACACCACGTCAAGGTACAGTCTCGTCCTGATGGATTAACAAATAATACAGAATTCAATCCATCTGTCTTCAGCAGCTCGTGTAGTTGCTAAACACCCAGCTCAGGGGTTATCCTTTGAAGGCAGTGATTCCACATGTCGACTGGAGTATGAGCGTCAACATTTTGCACTACTTGTAACGCTCTCCCATCTCAATTCGTTTATACTTCAACCATGGAAACTCCCCAGCGGAAACCTCATGAATCATTGGCAAGTCTTATGTTTCGAAATCCACAAAAGCAAATAAAGCAGGAAAAATATGTGATGATCCGCAAACGGGTTTTTGTGTATAGCATTTATCATTTCTCTTCGTCAGTTCAGTCGAGTCATGTGTGCTCAAAACCAAAAGGGACAAAAAATCAATAACGTGTAAGTATTTCCCATTGTAAAACTGACTTTGTGGTACTTCAATGTTGATAAGAACTGTTTTACGAAGTAAAAAAGCCTGAGGCATTTCTGGTGCCATCAGGACAGTCGGCTATCTGTGAAGAATCGACCGTAAGCTGCAGCAGTTCG